ACACAGCATTCCTCCCCTCTGGAGGTCATGGCCAGTCAAGCGCGCCATCTTGGAAGCAAGATCGGACCTTACGCAGAAAATAACCTGCCTGTGCCTTGATCTTGACTCTTGGCCCAGTCTCCAGACTGCTAAAAATAAGTTTCTGTTTTTTCTTTTCTTTTTTTTTTTTTAACAATTATCCAGTCTGTGGTATCTGTTAAAGCAAGCACAAACAAAGACAGGGTCTATAAAGGGACAATTAGGTTAAAATGAAGTCATTAGCGTGGGCCCCATCTAAATGACTGGTGTCCTCATGAAAAGCACAAATTAAGACAGACACACAGAGAGGAAAGACCTGTGAGGATACAGGGTGAAGATGGCCATGTACAACCCCAAGAGAGAGCCCTCAAAGAGATTGAACCTTGGTGGGACACATTGGCCTTTGATTATAGCCTTCACCGAATTGTGGAGAACAACTTCTGTTGTTCAAGTCACCAGTCTGTGGTACTCCATTACAGCAGCCCTACCAAAGCAATACGAGAAATATCTGGTAACATTTACTCTTTTGAATACACGAATTAACATAATTCTATAAGAGAAAGAGGGATAAAGGAGCAATAGAAGAGATGATAAAAACAAGAAGATGAATTTCAGAAAATAGGTGTGAGATAAGCAATAAGAGGATAAGAAAAAAGTGGCCGGGCCCGGTGGCTCACGCCTGTAATCCCAGTACTTTGGGAGGCTGAGGTGGGCGGATGGCGAGGTCAGAGAGATCAAGACCCATCCTGGCTAACACAATGAAACCCTGTCTCTACTAAATACAACAAATAGAAAATACAAAAAATTAGCCGGCGTGGTGGCGGGCGCCTGTAAGTCCCAGCTACTCGGGAGGCTGAGGCAGGAGAATGGTGTGAACCCGGGAGGCAGAGCTTGCAGTGCAGCCGAGATCACACCACTGCACTGTAGCCTGGGCGACAAAAAAAAAAAAAAAAAAAAGCACCAGGGATCCCCAACATGAACTTTTGCTGAGGAAAGAAAATCAAGATGAATTACTCCAACAGGGACGCCTTTGTCTTGAGACAGTGGAGAAAACTTCATGAGCTCAATGAGAAAGAGGCAAGGAAGAAGCAGGAGAGAACTTTAGGGAAGTGAATGGAATGAAACTAAAAGGAAATGAGCAGCACTATGGAGATACCTCAGCTACTGGAGACAGAGTACAGGAAAGGGAAGTAACATGAATCCCAAGATTAAAGAAAGTAAAACATGAAGAATGTGAGGGAGTAAAAGGAGTTCGAAGGAAACCTGGAGGAGCTAAAAACGAACCATACACATATGGGCCAAGTGTTATGTAAGTGAGAAACAGGTCACTGAGAGAGCATTAGATCATTCAAACTCGGAGTCACAGTTTATGGGGATCAGAAAACAAAGGAAATAGGGTTTAATTTTAAAATAACAAACAGGCTGGGCGCAGTGGCTCATGCCTGTAATCCCAGCACTTTGGGAGGCTGAGGCAGGTGGATCATGAGGTCAGGAGTTCGAGACCAACTGACACAGTGAAACCCCATCTTTACTAAAAATACAAAAATTAGCTGGGCATGGTGGCACGCACCTGTAATCACAGCTACTCAGAGGGCCGAGGCAGGAGAATCACTTGAATCCGGGAGGTGGATTTTGCAGTGAGCTGAGATTGTGCCATTGCACTCCAGCCTGGGGAACAGAGTGAGACTCCGTAAAAATAAAATAATAAAATAAAGTAAAAGTAAAAATAAAATAAGAAACAAAGTTATATGGGAAGACTGGACTCGGACATCAACTTTTTAAACCTTTCCTGGATCCTGTGAGCCAATAAATTCCTCTTTTTGTCTAAATTAGTTCAAGTTAGGTTACTGCCTTTCAAAACCAACCAAAGTAAAAAAATAACTATAAATGGAGGAGGAGTGAGACATCTCTTTTTGGCTATATTGAATAGATGAGATATAATTTACCTAAAGTGTAGTTTACAGACAAGCCAGTCACCACACAGCCCATTTCTGGGGGGAACTGCGGAGCCTGCAGGTCCTACTAAGAAGGTCGCCATGTTCTATGCCACGTTCTCTACCCAGCCTCTAGAACCCTTCAGCCCCCAGTTCCCCAGCTCAGCTGACTAGAATCAGCAATGTGCTCATGATCCAAAGGCCATCAAGTTTTCTATGGGTTTATGGCCCACGAGGAGGTTTAGCATAGAACCTCTGTTTTAGTAAGGATACTATTGAGTCAAACAGCCATTATTACCTAGAAAATTTGTGTGGAACTGACAAATTGTGAATAAGTTGAAGTTTTGAGTTATCAGAAAGGATGAGTGAGCAGTTATGAACAAGCAGAAGCTATAGGTAAGCCAAAATCAAAAGGTATTTATAGAAGAGTTGAAAAATTAGTAGAAATGGGAATGGTAGCAGTACAGATGGAGGGATGCTGAGTCACTGTATCTATGGGATCCCTGAACTTGCCAAGGCAGCAAGAAGATGACTCAGATCGGTGACTCTTCCACTGGATGCTTCTAGTTCCTGAGTGACTTCCAGAGTCCAAGAGGCCCAGCTCGACAGCTTTTCTTGATACGTCAGAAGATTCTTAAAGTCCTTATTTCCATAAATACCGTCATGATACCCCTGCTCCCATCACCCAGATGAACCACTGTTCTTTGTAGTGAAATGGTCTTAACAAACATCTCAATAATAACATTGGCTAACACTTATTTAACATGTATTATGTGCCAAGCACTGAGATATTAATTTGACACATTGTACCTCACTTAATTTTCTGAACAATCCTACAAGGCAGGTACATATTATTCTTATCAATTTATGGATGGAGAAACCTAACTTAGAGAGGTTACCTTGCTTGTCCAAGTCACATCTTCTGTGGGGGAGCTAAGTCTGAAGCAGAGCTGTATAACTCTGGAGTTCAAACATGTAATTATGTTTAACTTCTCTCAAGTTACTCAGTTCCCTTGGGATCATTTTGGATGTACAGAGTGGAAGTAATTTAAGTCATAAAATCAGAAATGTAGCAACCAGAACTAACAGGGAAAAAAAGACTCATCATGAATATCATGTGTTATAAAATAATCATGTGTCTTGCTGAAACTTCATAAAAGAGAAGTTCTAGAAAGTTCTCCCAAACAAGAAATGGTGAATGGGAATAATTACTAATTTCAGATACATAATATGTGCCAGATGTATTATCCTATTTGAACAAATGGTTAAGGAAAATATGTATTCTTTCTAGTTTAACAGTGGCCTCAGTTTTCCTAATTTGCTTCATAAAGTCTTATGCTCTTGACAGGGAATTCTCCTACAAAGGGGTTTTCTGAAATCAACCATGGATGTAGAGAAGAGACTACTTTGCATTAAAAAAAAGAGAAATGAAACTGTAGAGTTAAAAGAAAAAAAAAAATGTGGCCAGGCACGGTGGCTCACGCCTGTAATCCCAGCACTTAGGGAGGCTGAGACAGGCGGATCATCTGAAGTCAAGAGTTCAAGACTAGCCTAGACAACATGGTGAAACCCTTTCTCTACTAAACGTACAAAAATTAGCTGGCTGTGGTGGCGTGCACTTGTAGTTTCAGCTACTCAGGAGGCTGAGGCAGGAGAATTGCTTGAACCCAGGAGGTGGAGGTTTCAGTGAGCTGACTCTGTACCACTGTACTCCAGCCTGAGCAACAGAGCAAGACTCAGTCTCAAAATAAATAAATATATAAATAAAATAAAAAATGTTATGTGTAAGAAAAATAAGCTGTGAGATATGAAGTGTAAGATACCAACTCTTCTAATTATGCTGCATTAATAACTAAAATTTATTTCTCAAAAACTGGAAAATTTAGCAGAGATGTAGCTATTTAAAAATGAATAATAATGTTAAATATGTGTTTGCTCCATGAGGGCATAGATTTTTGTGTTTCCTTCACTGCTGGATCCTTAGAAGCTGGAACAGACTATGTTATATAGTAGATGCTCAATAAAAATCTGCTAAACAGAACGAACAAATGACTTAACTCAGAAGACTGAGATTATTCTCTGAATTGTATCTCTAAATGATATATGAGCAAGTCATTTAGCATATTTAGATGCAAGTTTTATTTATTTATTTGTGGGATTTTTGCTTTTTAAAATATACTGCAAGGAGATGGAATTTGTTCTACTAGACATAAAACCTAACGGTATGGTACTGGTTTAGGAACAGGCAATAAGTCAAAGGAACAGACTAGAAAATTTAGAGAGAGACTTTGTATACACACACACACACACACACACACACAGTTAGTATTTTAAATAACATCAATATATAATATAAAATGAATTGGTTTATGACATCTGGTCATTGATTAGGACCAATCATATTAATTCCCTCTCAAGCCATATACAAAGCTACATTCCAGATAGATCAAGGACTTGAACATTTTTTAATAAAAAAGCAAAGTATGGTCAGGCATGGTGGCTCATGTCTGTAATCCCAGCACCTTGGGAGGCCGAGGTGGGTGGATTTCTTGAGGCCAGGAGATCGAGACCAGCCTGGCAAACATGGCAAAACCCATCTCTATTAAAAATACAAAAATTAGCCAGGCACGGTGGTACACACCTGTAATCCCAGCTACTACTCAGGAGGCTGAGGAATGAGAATCACTTGAACCCAGGAGGTGGAGGTTGCAGTGAGCTGAGATCGCCCCACTGCACTGCAGCCTGTGTGACAGAGTAAGACTCTGTCTCAAAAAAAAAAAAAAAAAAAAAAAGCAAAGTATAAAACCACTAGGACCAAAATTCACAAATTCATAGAAATGTTTTTATAACCTTACCATGGTATACCCTTTATAAGAGTAACGCCAGGCTAGGCACAGTGGCTCATACCTGAAATCCCAGCACTTTGGGAGGCTTAGGCAGGTAGATCACTTGAGCCTAGGAGTTGGAGACCAGCCTGGGCAACAATAGTAAGGCCCTGTCTCTATGAAAAAATAAAAAAAGAAATTAACTGGGTGTGGTGGTACACACCTATGGTCCTAGCTACTTGGGAGGTTGAGGTAGGAGGACTCTTTGAGTCCTGGAGGCAGAGGCTGCAGTGAGCCATGACTGCACCACTGCACTCTAACCTGGATGACAGAAAGATACCGTATTTTAAAAGAGACAGAAAGAACAGTATTTTAAAAGAGAGTAACACCAAAGCCAAAACTATAAATAAAACAGATTAATGTATGAACAATTATATGCATTAGAGTGCAGGAGAAAATAAAAAGTGTTATGGAATTAAGAGGAAAACTTGGACAAATGAAGATGGTACCATACATCCAGGCTAATTATGTTACTTTAAAATATTTCTTATGCCTGTCACAGTGGCTCACATCTGTAATCCCAGCACTTTGGGAGGCTGAGGTGGGAGAATTGCTTGAGCCCAGGTGTTCGAGACCAGCCTGAACAACACAGTGAGAACCTGTCTCTATGAAAAATAAAAAATTAGCCAGGCATGGTGCCATGCACCTGTGGTCCCAGCTGCTCAGAAGGTTGAAGTGGGAGGGTCACTTGAACCCAGGAGGTTGAGGCTGCAGTGATGGCACCACTGTACTCCAGCATGGGCAACAGAGTGAGACCCTGTCTCAAAAATAAAATAAATAATATATTTCTTAAATTATGAAACTATTATCACATTCTCAAAACTTTAGGGAAATAGAAAATACAAAAAAATCCCCTGATTATAACACAATGACTATCATTTTTATATATTCCCTTGCAATATTTTTCATAGGAATTTTTTTGTTAAGATATTTCACATGCCATAAAATCCACTCCTTTAGAGTGTACAATGTAGTGGATTTAGTATATTCACGAAGATGTGTAAGCATTACCACTCTTTAATTCCAAAATGTTTTCATCCCCCACTCCAGAAAAAATGATGACAACACATTAGCAGTTACTGTTCATCCCCTTCCCTCAGCCCAAATCTACTTTCTGTCTCTATTTGTCATAGGCATATTTTAAACCAATTTGAATTGTAGAAACCTCCCTTGTTTCACTTAACTGTCTGTCAGAAACAAGCTTTCCATAAGTGAAGAGTCTTCAAACTTTTGTATAGAAAAATCAACTCTAAAATGTTTGCAGAGGGCAAAAAATAAAAGGAAGAAAAACAGAAATAAAAAAGATCATTCCAGGACAGCAATTAAAAGACGAAAATATACATAATTTATTAAAAAGTATACAATACAGGTCAAGAAGTGAATAGGGATTCTTTGATTCTTCCACTTTCTTAGTAAACTTGCTTTCACTAAAAAAAAAAAAAAAAAAAAAAAGTAAATAGGGCCAGGTGCGGTGGCTCAGGTGCGGTGGCTCACACCTGTAATCATAGCACTTTGGGAAGCCAAGGCAGGTGGATCACCTGAGGTCAGGAGCTCGAGACCAGCCTGGACAATATGGTGAAACCCCATCTCTACTAAAAATACAAAAAATTAGCCAGGCATGGTGGCGGGCACCTGTAATCCCAGCTACTTGGGAGGCTGTGGCAGGAGAATCCCTTGAACCCAGGAGATGGAGGTTGCAGTGAGCTGAGATCGTGCCATTGCACTCCAGCCTGGGCAACAAGAATGAACTCCGTCTCAAAAAAAAAAAAAAAAAAAAGTGAAAAGGCACTAGGTCAGATTATTGAAGAAAGGAACATTTTCTTGGGTCTGATGATTTTACTATTGTGTTATCTTCAAAAATTTTTTTTTAACGAAAGCAGTACATGCACATATTTACAAAAAAGTCAACAATGCTTAAGAGCTTATTGTAAGAGGTAAGAAAGCTTTGCTGCTCTATCCCGCCCCCAACCCACCCCTATGCCTTCCACTCAAACCCTAGAACCAAGTCTGACTTTTTAACGGCTACAGTTTTAAAAATTCTTCGGGGTGGTTACTTCCCTATCTCTAAATACTACAGTCATATCGCCACTTCTTTATTTATCAGACAGACAGGCTTTATCTGTGGACTTCCTTCCTATTCTGATAGATGAGAACTCAGTTCACTTACACCCTCCTCCCTCCCGATATGGATGTCTCCTTATTTTTAGTTCCTCTATTGTAATTTTAGGTAACCTATTTACTTGAGTTCCTCTTTGTAATTTTCTTAATATATGAATATTCACTTCCTGTTCTGCTAACTTTAACTTGTATCTCTCAAGTCCCCACTTTGCGTGGGTCCTCTTCTCTTCTACTTCCAAAATTCTCTCTGCATGTTGTTTTCTATAAGATTTCAACAGAATAAGTGAAAAAGTTCAAATGACCAGCACAATGGAATATGACGTTTTAACAATGGCATTCAAAAAACTGTGAAGTTGTTCACGCACATAAGCAAGAAACTAATAAAGGAACACACATCCATCCATCTTTCAGCTTTTTCAAATCTTAACATTATCACACATTTGCTTCCCTTTAAAGAGAGAAAACACTGTCAATCCACTGAGGCCCCATGTACTATTGATTGTTATTTCTCTCCTACCTCAATGTTCATCACTATATAAAAATCGCTCTTATTCACTCAGCATTTACCATTCTACCACTTGATTTTATACTTTTGACACATACTTTGGCATCCATAAACATTATGTATTAGGCTGGGCATGATGGCTCACGCCTGTAATCCTAGCATTTTGGGAGGCTGAGGCGGTTGGATAGCTTGCGCTCAGGAGTTCGAGACCAGCTTGGGCAATATGGTGAGACCCCGTCTCTACCAAAAATACAAAAATTAGCCAGGCATGGTGGTGCACACCTGTAATCCCAGCTACTCGGGAGGCTGAGGCAGGAGAATCACTTGAACTTGGGAAGTGGAGGTTGCAGTGAGCTGAGATTGTGCCACTGCACTCCAGCCTGGGTGACAGAGCAAGACTCTGTCTCAAAAAAAAAAAAAAAAAAAAAAAAAAAGTATAATATACAATTTTGTATGTCACACTTAAAATTTAACATTTTTATTGACACAATTTCAGTCATTAGATTTACCGTTCTGAATATCATTTGATAGTGTGCCTAATATCCTAATTGCTTACTATTGTAAATGATGCTGTTCTAAGTACTTTGGGTATTCTTAGCAAAAGGGGAAGGGAATGCTAAGAAAAATTAGCAAATAAATTTTTAAAAGGAAAAAGATAAATGTGGGAGATTTAGAGTTTACCTTTGGATTCAATGGAACTGGGTCCTGTTTCTTATACATTAATTATGTTTTAGCCTAACCTAGTGGATATGAAGTTCTGCTCACGGAATTAAAAAAAAACTAGAGATATTTATAAATGAGAAAAAGCATAGATGATAATAAAAAATATACATGTACCTACAATTAATCAATGTTCAGAACAATAGTTTTTTTTTGTTTGTTTGTTTGTTTGTTTGTTTTTTTAGAGGCAGGGTCTTGCTCTGTCACCCAGGCTGGAGTGCAGTGGTGTGATCATGGCTCATTGCAGCCTTGAACTCCTGGGCTCTGGCAATCCTCCTGCCTGAGCCTTCTGAGTAGCTGAGACTACAGATATGGGCCACCACACTTGGCTAATTCTTAATTTTTTTTTTGTAGAGATGAAGTCTTGCTATGTTGACCAGGCTTGTGGGAGTTCAGTCAGGCTGGTGGAAAAAATTTTAAAGATAGTTATAAGAAATAGAGCAAACCTTTTGGAAGTCTGGGGGGGTTTACATCGCTTCAGTAACAGATTTGGCTGAAGACAGCCTAATCCTCTCTACCTTTAGCTAATAGCAAAAAAGCAAATAATGAGGGAATGTGGGGAAGTTTATCTAAATAGCTTGTTTACTCATGTAGTCCTTAAACCAACCTTTGATCAACCTTGGGTGCATAATTGCTCTCTATTTGGGGGGTGAGCAATGTTAATTACCCTCTAGTGGTGTTTACTCGAGACCTTTGTCATGTAATCTGTACTAAATAAATGCGAACTTTGCTAGCTTATTGAGGTGATGCTCCAGACGCAGAGCAGAGCCCCTTAGCCAGACTGAACAGGCAAAATATCTGTGTCAGTGTACGTCTCTCATCTGTCACCGGGTCAGGGTCTGTGGGCTGGATTCCTGCACAGGCTGGTCTTGAACTCCTGGGCTCAAGCGATCCTCCTACCTGAGGCTTCTGAGTAGCTGAGACTACAGATATGGGCCACCACACCTGGCTATTTTTTAAATTTTTTAGTAGAGATGAAGTCTTGCTGTGTTGCCCAGTCTAGTCTTAAACTCCTGGGCTCAAGAGCTCCTCCTGCATTGGCCTCCCAAAGTGCTGGGAGGACAGGCATGAGTCATGGTGCCCAGAGAGACATTTTTTAAAAAATAAAGGAATACTCCTGAAACACTGAAGTCTTCTTTGTACCCCTTTGTGATAACACGAGTAGCCTCTTAATGACACCAAGGAACAAGTTAGTCCCAAAGTAGCTCACATAAATGGTGATAGAGGAATGAGGGGTGGGTGTGATCTATGCAAAAAACCTTTTCTCTTTAACGGGTTGCTGTTTCTAACATAATTGCAGTAGTACCCTATGTTGCTATAATGCATTATAGTTTTCAACATGCTTTTGTGGCCTCCATAATAGAGGGGCTGTGAGGTAAGCTTCAACCACAGCTGCCCCACTACCCAAGAAAGGATACACAATGATGAATAGGTCAATTTCTGCCTCTTAGTTTCTTAGCTGGGGAGGGGCACTTACTGGAACAGCACAGAAAACAGAGTCTTTGGCCCAGTTGGGGAATCTTTATCAGGTTATGCTACTTCAAGCTTTCCTCCTGTTAAATGTGAGAGGAATAAATCCCTGTTCCTTGGATCAGTGTGACTCTGAAATAGCTGGAGGAGAGATAGCTTTAGGTAGGTTGAAACAGAGAGCTCCAGCATGTGTACTTTTTTTTTTTTTTTTTTGAGATGGAGTCTCGCTCTATTGCCCAGGCTGGAGTGCAGTGGCATGATCTCGGCTCACTGCAAGCTCCACCTCCCGGGTTCATGCCATTCTCCTGCCTCAGCCTCCTGAGTAGCTGGGACTATAGGCGCCTGCCACCACGCTTAGCTAATTTTCTTGTATTTTTAGTAGAGACAGGGTTTCACCACGTTAGCCAGGATGGTCTTGATCTCCTGACCTCGTGATCTGCCGCCTCGG